GCAGAGCTGAATTGGGATTCAGAGCAGGGTTCAAGGGGCTGGGCAGGCCTCTACCACTCCCAAAAGACTTCCTGCTCAGCACCTAGAACCAAATTACTCTCCCTGAAGAGTTTTCCAGGAGCTTTCTTGGCCAGTTGGTGGAAGGCCAGGATGGAGTCTAGCTCAGCCTTTCCCCTGCCCCATCCCCAAGGGGGAGGAGAGCCTGTGGGGAGGAGGGCCTGTGGGGAGGAGGGCCTGTGGGGAGGAGGATTCTGGGCCTCTCAGTCTCCCATGAAGGCCTGTTCTCTGGTCCAAGCACCCTTTGACCAAGCCAGAGACCTAGGTAGCTGAGAGGGGCTGCTGGAGCGTCCTACTCTCTCTTCTCTATACCGCAGGTTCATGGAGAATGGCCTAGGGTGTGCCCAGTAATGGGAGAGGCAGACCCCCATAGAAAAGACAAGTGGAAGGGTAATGGAGTGGGGGAAACATTTATTTGACTTCAAGGAAAGCTACAAACAAATACCAAAAGCGAATCACTGAGACAGGCCCGGCAAAGACAGATTTCACACGTAGCACGGCATCCACTCGCTCACTACAAATGGTCTTGGAAGCGAAACGGATAGGAAGAAAGAGATGGGTCTGACCCAGACTATCCCCATATTTACAAGCTTTGGGCCCTCTAGCCAGACCCACAGGTTCACAGAGAAATACACAAGACGTTTTACACCGAGGACCATTTTTGTTTCCGTATACTCCCAGACCAGGCCTTGTCAGGCCTACCCAGGCAGCAGGAACTTAAACCTCACTATTTCCCTTCCCTCTTCTCCATATCACCCCTTTGGACCTCCCTAGCCCCTTCCCACACTAGAACCAAGCCCCTGGGAGACTTGGGCCTGGAAAGTGGGGAGGGAGGAGGAGGAGGATGAAGAGAGACACAGTCACTGTCTCCATCTCCAAGGCCAGCTCAGCTGGGCCTTACTTCGGCACTATCCCACCTCAACTGCTGCCCCTTCGAGAAGTTTCGAACTGAAACTCAAAATACAGCGATCGTCCTTTTATAAATAAGTTAGAACACAGATGGGGAGGGGAAAGTTCACATTAAACATGCGAATTTCTTTTTTTTTTTTTTTTTCCTGGGGGGGGAGGAGGATTGCCACCACAGACACGAACATTCAGAAACACTGGCGGATTTGGGGCGAGCGGAAGGGAGCTGGGAGCATGGAGGGAAAATAATAATTATTATTATTATTATTAACAATAATAACAAGATAACCAGTCCAGGAGAGAGGGAGCCACAGGAAGACCTAAAACCGAACGAAAAATCGTAACACGAGGCCGGGGCGAGGCAGGCTTGTGGGAACCGGTCCCCTGCGGGCGGCGGCGGCGGCGGCGGCGGCGGCGCAGGGAGGATTAGAGGGGCTGGGGCTGGGGGTGGCGCGGGCTCTGGGGCCGCCCGGGGCTCCTCTGGGCGGGCTCAGGGCTGGAAGGCGCTGCCGGCTGTAGCCAGGCTCATACTTTTCAGTTTGTTGTCCTTCTTCCACTTCATGCGCCGGTTCTGGAACCAGATCTTGATCTGGCGCTCGGACAGGCAGAGTGCGTGGGCGATTTCGATGCGCCGCCGCCGGGTCAGGTAGCGGTTGAAGTGGAACTCCTTCTCCAGCTCCAGGGTCTGGTAGCGGGTATAGGCGGTCCGGGCCCTTTTCCCGTCCGGCCCGGTCATATCTGGAGCAGACAGAGCAGAGCCGCGAGGCAACGTTATTCCGGTTAAGGGAGGGGGCGCTGGGTGGGAGGGGGGCGGGGGAGCAGGACCCGGGCGTCCCCGGCACCCAGCTCACCGCAGCTCCAATCCTCCCCACTCCAGATGCCCACGTCCAGGCTCAACCTCCGCACCCCCTTCCCCTGCAGCCCCCACTTCTGCCGGCAGTGAATGCTCCCGCTTTGTCTCTTGCGGGCTCCCCGAGCCTCACCCTTGGCCGGGCTCAGGCGGCCGCTCGCCCCGGGAGGGAGGAGAGCGGCTGCACTTTTGCCCTGGAAGGCTCCTTTGACTGCTCGTCCCTGCTTTTCGAGCGGCAGATGTCAACATTTCGGGGGTAGGGGGAGACAGGACCCTTCCCCACCTTCCATAAGCCCCATCCTTCATCCTAAAGCTGGCACTGCCGAGCGAATAAAAACCTGAGCCGAAGCTGGGAACAGATTCCTAAAAATGCCCCCACTCCCTCCCAGACGGAGACCCTGTCTGGCTCTGTCCACGAAGCTGTGGGGACCCTCTTAAAGACTTCTCACCCTTGGAAAAATAAATCCACATTTGAGGAAAAGCCAAGCTGTCCTCCACCCCACCCCACCCCCCAAACGCAGAGAAGGAAAGCTGGGAAGACAAAAAAGAGAGAGAATTACCATGGCTGATGTGAAGCTTCCTCATCCAGGGGAAAATCTGCGGAGTCTGCCCCTCGGGCGCGGCTGTGGAGGTGGCCATGGGCTCTGGCTGCGCCCGAGCCAGGCTGGGGCTGCTCAGCTGGCTCGCCGCTTCCTCAGGCTCCGAGGACGCGCTGGCCTCGTCTATTTCGGTGAAATTGGCGCTGGAGCTGGCTGGGGTCGCCTGGTCGGACGGGGACGAAGCAGAGGGCTTGGCGCCGTGGCTGTCGCCGTTGGTGCAGGGCAGGGACTCGGGCGAGGACAGGGAGCAGCTCGACGCCGCTTGCCTGAAGCGGGGCTCCTGGGCGGGCGCGGGGAAGGCGCGCGAGCTCTCGCCCACCGCCCCAAAGTGGCTGGAGGAGGCCGAGGAGCGGTTGACGCTGAGGTCCATCCCATTGTAATTGTAGCCGTAAGAGCCGGTGTGCATGGCAGCGGGATCCCTGTAAGAGCCGCTCAGAGAGCTGCCACTGCCATAATTTAGCAACTGATAGTCCGGGCCATTTGGATAACGCCCCGAGAAGGAGTTTACAAAGTACGAGCTCATTTGGGTGATTTTGGAGGGCTTGATTTGTGGATCGTGGTCGTTATAACCCTGTGCTTCACGATTTATGATGTATTAATGAATTATAGCGATGCACTGTACTTCGTTTTGCTATGTATGCGGCCAAATATGGGGGGGGCTGGAAGGGGGATGGGGGGGCGTTAGGGAATCACGTGCTTTTGTTGACCAGTCGTAAATTCTCGCTGATGACCTCAAGAGGTAATTCATGCTCTATGGTTACAAATAATGACGATCCGAGAATCGTTAGGGCCGATTCAATGCGAGCCTCCGAGAGGGGGAAAAAAGAAGGGGGAGAAACAGGGAGAAGGTTGGCGTTGGCCTCTGAGCAGAGCGCGCCACCTCCCGGCGATCAACGGGAGCGCGGGCGGCAGACCGCCATGGCGGCGGCGGCTGCCTCCCTGCTGGCTCTTTGCAACCGCCGGGAGAGAAAGAAATCCCGGCCAGGGCTCACCCATAGGCCTGAGCCTTTTAGAGGAGGGGGTTAAGCTTTTTACCCACTTTCTTGGAGGTGGGGCTAGCCTCTCCATGTGTGTCCCTCTCCCTATCATCATCATCATTATTATTTTAACTCTGGAGGAGATGATCAAAGATTGAGCTGCTTTTCCCTTACTTGGGCTTTGCAAGTCTCCGAGTTGGGGGCGGAAATGGGGGGAAGGGTTGGAAGTTGTGTGTGAAAAACAATTCTTGCAACTGGGTTTTCCCCCCCTTGCGAGCTCAGCCCGGCCTGCTTCCTGGCCAGACTGCAGTGGAGGGTCCACCGTGCCCAGGCCGAGCTGGCAGGGCCAGGTCAGAGGCTTGAAGAGACAGCAGGGGAAGCTTTCGCTACTCCTGGGCCCCTTTTAAGTTTGGAATCCTCTTCCTCTTCCTGAGCCCAGGCCTGGGGAATGGCAGAGCAGGACAGGGACCCTAGAGGATGAGCACCACTGGGGCTAAGCGGCCTAGTTGCCGAAAATACTACAGGGGCTGCAGCGACGCTGCTTGGGTTTGGGTGGTAACGTGTCTGAGACTTTGGGGTTAAAGTGGGAGCCCCTGGCCTGCTTGTCAGATGCTGGCTATTGCGTTCTGAGGCTCACTCGAGGCCCCTCGCTGGAGGCTGGGCAGTTTGGGAATTTGCCCAGCAGCCACGGCCTTCCCTGAGAAGGGTTCCGAGGACCCGCGGCGCCTTGCTGGGCACGCCAGGAGGCCAGAGACCTCTGCAGCTGGGCCCCTTCTGCCGAGCAGCTATTTTCTTTAAAAATAAAAAACGGAGAGAGAGGAGGAAGAAAAAGAAAACCGTGTCCGCAGTTTGCTGCCTGGGTGTGAGTGGGGTGGAGAGAGAGTGGGACTTTTGGGGCTGAGAGGATGACGCTGAATGCCCCATACCCGGCCTCCTGCCCTCGGGTCTCCGAGGAGCGAGGGAAACTCTTGCCCTTCGGTCCGCACCTGCTGGCGGCTTTACATCCTCCTGCTTGTCGCTGAGCTCCGACTTGAGGTGGGAAGGGGCACCTGGAGCCTTCAGCTGCAGGGCAGAAAGATATCCAGTGGTCCTATTTTTCAGTCTCCAGAGCCACCGACCAGGAGCCGAGGGCCAACCTTGGCGGAGACGTGGCCATGTGAGTGGGTCAGAGGCCGGGCCTCGAGAGCCTGGGAGCAGAAAAGTTATCCGCGGAGGCTCCCAGACCCACGGGTTCCGTCTCTGCACGGGGCTCCGGGATTGGGGCCCTCAGTGGCGTCCCTTAGTGCTGTGGACGGCGGAGGAAAGGCTAGAGAATGAGAAGGAAACGATCCCCTTCCATTCCCCAAGATCGCACCGGAGAGGCCTTTGTGAGCCTCAGCCCCAGGCGCACAGCGGCGCTGGAACCTGAGCAGGAGCGATGGCTCCAGCCTTTGACTCAGTTGCAACTTCCGACTCGAGGCGGGCCCGCTGGGGAGGCCCTGGGGCGGACCAGGGCTCCCGACTTGGCCGAAGAATTCTGGTTCAGGAAAGATGGAGTGACTGGGGGGCGGGGGGAGAGGGACAATGTCAGGGGAGGATCGGAGGTGACTGAGCGGCGAGTTTTCACGTCTTTTATTATTATCATCATCATCATCATCATCATTATTAATAATATTAATATTACCGAAGTATTTCACGTCCAGAGCTAAGACAAGACTACAAACACAACACATAGAAAATTAATAAAATAGAACTTTGTTTTCTTCTGAGGCTCCTCTTCTTACTTCTAGGTAGTATGTGCTCCTTCCAGTGGCTTTGGGGAGTAGGTGGGAGAGACGACAGGTCTGGGGTTAGGGAGTCTTCGAGGCCCCGCCGAGGGGCCAGCGAATCTACCATTGAACCGTGCAGGGGGGGGGGGACATGGAGGAAATGAGATGCGACACGGACAAGAGCATTTTGCTCTGCTTCCAGGAAACATCAAATGAGTCCGATCCTCAGTTCTCACCGGGAGCCGGATCGGGCGAGGCGGGTTCCTCGGGGAGGAAGGGGGGCGCGGGGTGCTGGGTGGGCTCGGGCTGCGCGGCCTGCGAGCACCCGCGGGAGCTCTGCGGGCGGGGGTGGCCGGGAGAGCGCTGGGCCCCGCCTGTCGCGCGCTGGAGAGCGAGTCCCGCGGCTCCCCCGCCCGCAGAGCTTTCCCGGGGCTCTCCGACGCCCTGGGCTCCCCACGGGCCTCTCCCTTCACGTCCCCCCTCCCTTTCCAGCACCTTCACTCGGCTGGCTTTTCTTCCTCCTCCTCGGCACTGAGCTGAGACGCGCTGAGCAGTTTGCTCTCCTTTTTCCACTTCATGCGCCGGTTCTGGAACCAGATCTTGATCTGCCGCTCGGTCAGGCACAGGGCGTGCGCGATCTCGATGCGTCGCCGCCTCGTCAGGTAGCGGTTGTAGTGAAACTCCTTCTCCAGCTCCAGCGTCTGGTAGCGCGTGTAGGTCTGGCGGCCTCGCCGGCCGCTGGGCCCAAAGGAGGAACCTGTTACGCAGAGTGGAGACGCTGAGGCCTTGGGTCACCGAGCCCAGGGTCCCCCTCCCCCATTCGACCCTCCAACGTGGACTCCAGACTGTCCCGGGATGCCCTCCACTCTCCCGGGTCCCTGCCCCCCTTCCTCGCCCCTCCAGCGCCCCCTCCAGATTCCCTCCTCGTCTCCTAGGCCTGTTCCCTCTGTCTAGACTCCTGGTGGGGGAGGGGAGCAGTCTGAACTCTCACCTGAGCCTAGGGGGAGGAGCTGGCCAGGTGTGTCTCTTCCTGGCTGCATCTTTCCTTTCCCTCCCATTCCATTCGTCTAGCTACACCCCCCTCCGCCCACCCGATGATAAATTCCGGCCCTTAATCCGTAATGACGTGGATCGATCCCTAGTCCGCATTAAGGCTCCTCACTTTCGTGTCCTGCTAATGGACATCAATTGGGACTTAAGCCGACAAATAATCCAACCTGAGACCCAGGCGCCTGTCGCTCCCCCTCTCCTCCTCCGCCTACCCCCCTCTCTTTCATCCCCTTGTCCTCCTTCCTCCCACTACCATCCCTTTCCTGGTGCCTCGTCTTCCCCCAGCCCCCCATGCGCAGGGAGACAGCCCCAAACAGACTCAATTCTCCCTCGCCAGCGTCACGCCCCCCCCTTGCATGACGCACTCCGTTTTTTAATGGAGCCGTCTTGGGGTGGGGGACCCGAACAGGGCTGGGGGAGGGGGGCCGGGGGGAGGGGGCGCGAGGAACGCGAAGTCAGTGACTGCGGCCCCTACTCCCTTCCCTGACCTGGAATCCCGGCTCTGGCCTGGCACTCCGGGAGCGCCCACCCACTCCCCCTGGCTCCCAGCGCAGCTGGGACTTTGCAAACTTTGTAACTCCTGGGAAACCTAGGACAGAGCGGGGGCCCCGTGCGGGCGCCCAGCCTTCCCCCACGGCCCGGCCGAGATGCCCACCCGACACCGCGTGGGAGAATGGGGCGGGGGGCGCTCGCTGGCTCCGTCCCGGGGATGGGGCCCGCGGGGGTGGCGGCGACGGCGGCGGGAAGTCTCACTCACTGTTGCACGAATTCATCCTCTGCATCCACGGGTAGACCGGGGTGGAGCACTTCTGCTCTTCCGTCTCGCCGAACACGCTCTTGTCCTGCGCGCAGTCCGACTTCCGCGGCTCGGGGTGGAACGGAGGCGGCTCGTCGGCGCCCGAGAGCGCGCAGGCCGACTCCTTCTCGCGGTAGAAGGCGGGCGCCGGCCCGTAGTCGCAGGGCGCCGCTCGGCCGTAGCCGCCGCCGGCCGGCGGGTAGTAGGAGGAAGTGGCAAAGCCCTTGTCCTGGCCCGGCCCTGGCCCGTAGGGCGCGGGGTAGTGCCTCAGCGGGTCCGCATAGCCCGACGAGTAGAGCGGCAGCTGGCCCAAGAAGGACTCCTGCCCGCTGGCCAGAGTGACGGGGAAGGTGGAGTTCACGAAATAGGAACTCATTGGGAGGGGAGGCGCGCGCGGCCGCTGCTGCTCCGCCGGGTTTATGATTTGTTGTGTTTTATAGTCCGAGCGCCGCGCCTATTAGTAGTATATCCGAGATTGGGTTTTAGCTGAGGGGGGATGGCGAGGTGCCAGTGAGGGCCAGAAGGAAATACAACCATCTGATCCAACACTGACCAATGGCAGAGGCAGGAATTGTCAAATAGCACCCAGGAGGAGCGCAGCCCGCACGAGGGACCCGCGCACAAACCTATCAACCTTTTTTTCCTCCTTCTCCTCCTTTCTCTCGCTCTCTCCCCAACAACACAGCGCGTCCTGTTCCACCTACGTATGATCTGCGAAAGAGGCGTCTGTGCTTTTGAGGGAGGAGGGAGCTTTTAGATTGAGACCACCCCATCCCCCAGTGATTAAATAAATATATCCCTCCCCCACCCCACGCAGGATAGGAAAAAGTTAATTGTGTTTTCAGAAAAGTTAACCCCTGCGTGGCTTGGGTCCTTTCCCTCAAGGGAGGGGTGGGTAAATGTCCCCGAATCTCCTTGAGAGAAAACCAAAAAAGGTTTTTTTTCTAGGGTTTTGTGTTGGTGGAAGATGAGAAGAGTTCTCCGCTAAGAGAAGCCAAGAAAAAGAACACCTTCCTTCCCAGGTTTTTAAAATCCTCTTTCTTGTTTATCAGATCTGCACGCTGTCTCCTCCAAGCCTGGGTTTACTGTCCCTGCTTCTCCACAACTCTTTTGGTCTGAGAGATCAGGCCCGATCCCCCTGCCTAGAAGACCCAGAAGAGGAGGAAATGGCAGAAGGATCTGAGATCCATCTCTGGCTCTGTGGGGCAGACTAGGAGCTTCTTGGGAGGCTGCGGCTGTTGCTACCTAGGCCATCCCACCTGGTCCTAGCATGCAGCTGCTCGCTCTCGGCAGGGGAAAGGGCACTGGGGAAAAGCACTAGCCCTCTCCTCATTTGGCAGTATGGAGTGGAGGAGTAAGGGGTATCCATCCTCCCGTCTAAGTGGCTTCATTTGTCTGATCCCTAGCCAGGCTGCAACCCTCACTCCAGCACCTTCTGCAAACCCAAAAGACATAAGAATACCCTGGGCTACTGATTCTTAGGAATCAAGGATGTCCCACCCAGTAAATCTGGGCACAAGGAAGAAAGTCTTCCTCTTCCAATTGTGGGTCTTCAGGCCCTCCTGATATTTTAGGCAATCAGAGACCCCCGGGGAAGGCAGATGTCTTCATGCCTTTTGTAAGTCTCTCTGGAAGCTGGCAGTTCTTTTTGAAATGCTTCCCCAAGACTTGGTTTTTGCCTTAGTGTTATAAGGAGGGAGGGGTGTTTGAGTTCTCCTAGGATTCAGCAGGCAGCTTCCAACCATCAGCCGGCATTCCCCTCTCCCTTCTGTCTGTCTCACGACATCTCTTCAGTTCCCTCCTACATCCCCTGTTTGTGTCATCAGCTTTGCTGCTTTGCTTCGCTTGGGTGTGAGGAGACAGTGCACATCTCCAGCTCTCTCATCCAAGGAAAATGAGCTCTGAGCCCAGGCTGGGAGACAGGGCCACAATGCATTGCCAACATTCTAATATGCATGCACAGGCCAGGCAATGAAGGGTGACAACCTTCCGACCTGGGGACAGGAAAGGGCCAGGGTGGAAAGCCTGATGTGAGGCCAAGCTGACCTTCCTTGTCCTTTGGGCTTGTTTTTGTGGCCCTGCTCTGCCTACAGAAGATGGCACAAGACACTAGGGAAGGTGGTAGAGGGCTGACATTGGGTGACCAAGGGTGGAAACTTATTTGGTTGCAAAGTGGTCTCCAAGACTTTCTGAACTCCAGCAACTTCTAGGCTATACTTTCATGGCAAAGTGGCCATCCTTGGATATATATCCAGTCACTTTCTGGCCTGACTCTGGGGGTTCTGACAAAGATTTAAGAAAAGCAGACTCCTTGATAATAAAGAAGCATAAATGTCCCAAATTTAGCTATGGTTGGGATCACTCCTGGAGAGGAGTGGGGTCATTTGACAGGGAGAACAGCCTTGGGGGATGAGCACTTGCATGCACCCCCTTCCTCTCTGCTGCTGAGCCTGAGCCCTGGGCCTCAGTCCTCCCTTCCTCCTCCCTGGCCACAGTGTCCCCATTCAAGCACTGGATGGTGTGGTCTTCCCTATGGAGTCTTGGCAAGTGAGATTGGAGCCTTCCCTGTGAGAGAAGCAGGAAAATAGTTGCCTTATCCTTAGTCGCAGCCCCCAAATTAACCTCACCTCTGCAGGTTGCCTGTCGGAGATGGAGCCACTACGCAGGGCCCGGGCGCCTGGAGTCCGGCATGAAAGGAAATAACGCCTCATCACTCTTATCTAAGCCCAGAGGTATTTATGAGCGTTTATTCGTCTGATCCGTTTGTTTGGGAAAAAGAGCAGGCAGGCAGGGCAGGTCAGAGACTGCCTGGTTTCTGGAGCCAGATCTCTATGGATCTGTCTGTGGTTCGGTCCACCACTGTCTGTCTGTCTCCATGGGGGAACATGTAAATACACTGTGGGCACAGCCAGCTGCTGGCCTGGGATGTCTCTTTCTGCCTCGGTGAGAAAGTGTGCCTTCCAAGAGGTGAATATAAATGTGTGCCAAGTCTTGAGTACATAACAGAGGGATCGTACAGATACCCCACAGGCAGGATTTATAATTGTAATTTTCTCCGCTGCAAGTCTGCAGTCCTGTGGTCAAGCACACACACATTCCAGCTCCCAGGAAAATGTTTCCTAAGTTGTGTTCAGTTCAGGAGTGAAATTCTTGGTGGGTAACATCAGGGAGGGGTATTTGCCTGTATGTGTGTGGGGGGAGGGGGGATTGAGACATTGTCCAGGCTTCCCATTTCCTCTGAGCTACAACCCTGGCCAACCCCCAGCTCTTTGGGCTATAAGCACCTTTCCCCAACTTTGGCTGACGTAGGGCAAATGAAAACATCTCAACCGGACTTGGAATCGCTGGATTTGGGGAACATAAATATTCCCATAGGTTGGGGGAGGCTCTTTAAATGAGACATTTTGCCCTAAAATTGGCCCCTCCAAATCGAGGTACAAAGACCTTATTTCCATTATGCAAATAGAAGGCATCCTCTCTGATCTGGGGGGGGGGGCGTGGGCGTAGCACTGAGCCAGCTCTCCCTGTCCTCAGCCCCCAGGTCCAGGCCACCCTAAGAGCTCTGAAGTGTTTCAATCCGATGTACCTTGCACCAGCCGACTTCCCCTGCCTACCTGTCCTTTGGATTGTCCGAGAGAGAGAGAGAGAGAGAGAGAGAGAGAGAGAGAGAGAGGCTGTGAGACGCCCAAGACCTTCCAGGCTGGCTCCCTTGGGGCCTCCCGCAGAACGACTCACCGAGCCGGGCCTTCCAGCGACCAGAAAGCCCCTCTCGCTGCGAAAAAGCTGAAAGAACCGCTCTAGAGGCCCAGGCTCCGGAGGCGCCCAGACGCGGGGCCGCAGCCGCCGAATTTCCCCCGGCACCGCGAGGCCACTTGATCTCCCCAGCTCCTCTAGCTTAGGGCCAGACCCTGGGGACACCTCGGCCTGCCTGGCACCGCTGGCAATTTCCTGGAGTCCCCTCCCCTCCAACCCAGAAACTGGGGCCACAGCACCTTTAAAGGAGCGGCCGAAGCTTCCTCCCGCGGCTTGAAAGCCTGAGCTAATCAGTAACCCGTGAGACAGGAGCCAATATTCAAACGCGGCCGCAAAGGCGCGTACCCGCCCCCCATTCTGAGAAAGCGGTCGAGTTAGGTGGGTGAGGGGTCGTCGGGAACGGAAATGACAACGGCGTGACTCCTTCATGACTTCGTCCCAGTCCCACTCCCACATGTCCCCCAAATCGCGTTCGCGTCGATTTCGCTGGAAACGATCGAGGATGGGGGAGGGGATCAACAATCACTTGCAGACATCACAGTTTCCAAAAAACTCAGTTCAATTCCTTCCCCCAGGAACCCACCAGCCAAGCAACTGGCAAGACCTACCAGCCAACCGGGAGAACACAGACCCGGTTTGTCTTTTGACAACCGAGTGGAACTGCCGGGGCCGGCGCCTTCCCTGTCGGCCCCCTCCCTTGGCTGAGAAGAAAACCAAATAAACCTTGAACAGCTTTGGCCTCGGATGTCTCTCCAGCGGCCCATCCTCTCCTGCGCCTTGGTTGTTGGCGGGGGTGGGGAATGTGGATCGCGGTCCTGATCCCTCAACCCTTTGGTTCGGGGACCCCCGCCCTCTCGATGCGGTATCCGTGCTCTTTAAATGTGCCCTGGCGAAGCCCCTTCCCCTGCCAGCCTCCAGGTTTGGGGCTGGGATGGGGTGGGAGCTGGCAGCGGGAGTAGGGAATAGGAGATGGTGCGAGGGCGTAAAGACTTGTTCTATTCGCTAACCCACGCCGGGGAACCAAGATCTGGCAGAGATCGTCGGTATGGCCCGAAACCCCCCAGTCCTCTGGAACCGCGCGCCTCGGGCTCCAGGCGTCGCGCACGGCTTGGATAGTGTCGCGGGGTTTGCGGCGCCGAAGCCGCGTGTCTCCGAACGGACGGTAGATGGCAGCAAACTGCATAATTTGGGTCAGAGCAAACTGTCTAATGGAGGATTTATAACCCTCTAAGACTACAGGAGAAAAAGACCTTTAGTATGGGTGGGTTTGGGGGAATTTTCCCTTCGAGAATAGGCCCTGGGTGCCGTGGATGCTGACGGAGGACTTATCTCGCTGAGAAGCCAACTGGTGCCTCAGGGCACCCAGACCCGGCCTGCACCTGGGACCTTTACCTGGGCCTCCCTTCCACGCCACAAGTGGCTGTCTTCCCTCTCCCAGCTCAGGACTGGAGAGGGCTGATATTCACCCCACCGTCCCCCTCCCAGACCCCGCCATTCCAGAGCAACCAGAGGCCCCAGGCTGGACGCCCTGCATCTGGTCTTAAGAAAGAGAAAAGCCATCACCTGTTTGTGCAAACCAAACTGAATCACAGTCTCTCCTGCTCTCTGTGGCCAACGTCACTTGTCTCTTGACTGGAAGCTTCCCCAGAAGCTCTCTCTCTCTCTCACCCCATTTTTAAGTCCTTACCTCAAGGCTTGCACCTTCTCCCACCCCTGCCACCCATTTTAGGAATCTCTGTCTTGCGCCCCAAGGTCTTCTCCATCCTCCCCACCCCCACTCCAGGCCTGACGGGGTGAAATTGGGCGCTGGAGGGACAGGACTAGCTTAGCTCTAATCAGCTTTTCAGTTTGGACACCATTCGGTCCCATAATTGGGTTTTCTTTTTTATTTTCTTCTTTCATGTTTTTCTTTTTTGATTTTGCTTACAAGCCCAACACAACAACAAGGCAAACGGCCTTTACACAATCACCACGTATGGACCCAGGAAAGTTTGAAATGTTTCCATATAAGAAACACACATGACAATTTTTCTCCTCCACCGAAATCCACACACCCCATACCAATACAACACAAGTAATGGAATCAATATCGCACAGAAACCAGCAGCTGTAACCTACCGCGTTAAAACCACAAAACTCTCCCTGCAGAGCGAGACCTGGGCGTTCTCCAGCAGGCTTCCTGGTGGGGGGGGAGTCTCCCTCGCTTTGGGCGCCTCCACCCACAGTCCTTTAATTTCAGAAACGTCTCCGAAGGGAGACAGTGAACATCTCTGTAAATTGTCCTTTCTGTGTTTTTCTAGCTGCCGCCTCGCCCTCGCTGGCCTCTGCGAAGATTCCAGGCCCCACGGAGACCAGGGCGTCCCTTAGCGCCACCGGCCCTCGTGCCAACGCGGCCGGGAAGCCGCCGACATCCGCACCAGGCGAGAGGGGGGATGCGCGGGGGCAATCGGGAGAGGCCGGGACCAGGGAGGGACGCTGGGAGGGGGAGGGGGCAAGCCCACAGAGGCCGGAGTGACGGCTTCTCCGGGTGCCCCGGAAACCCGGACCCCCCTGTCCTCTGTTCCACAGCCGCCCTGATGGAACCTCTCCTCCAAGGCTTAAAAAGGCGACTTAGAGCTGGCCTCCGTGGCCCCTTTCGGTTCCTCCTCCCGGTTTTCCCTGCCTTGGCTCCCCCTCCAGGAAGCAGCCACCCCTCTCTCCACCACAGAATTTCCTGGGAAGCCTCTCTCCGTAGCGCCCAGAGGTGGGGTTCAGCCCCGTTTTGGAGCGGGGGGAGGAGGGAGAAAAGCCCAAGCCCCACCCCTTCAAAAGCGATGCAAAAGAACGAGAAAAGAATTGTAGAATCTCCCTTACCTTTGCAGACCTTGGGATTTTTTTTCCTCCGGATTGAAAGGGGTGGGGAGGAAGGAAAAAAAAAGGAAGGTTCGGTTTCTTCTTCAGCTTCCAGATAATATTGTCCCAACCTGAGAGCCGTCGCTTCCCCTTCTCTGACTTGGGAGAGAGGGTGTTTCGTTTTTCTGACATTTGCATAGAAAATGGAGTAAGTTCTGGCTTTGAAAAATGATATCAGGCTGCAGTCCTGGGCAGATTGTCCATTTCCCCTCCATGATGACTGAAATCCCAGATCAGCAAGCAAATTAACTTAGGAATCAAAATTATTTTTGGTTCTCTCTTTTGTGTAATTCCCACCCCTCCTTCTCTCTCTCTCTCTCTCCCCTCTCCCTCTCTCCCTCTTCTCTCCTCTCCCCCCTCTCGCTTTCTCTCTCTCTTTTGCTCGATTGAGCTGATACTGAAGTATAAAAATATCAAGAGGCTGGAGCCCTGAAGGACGACAGTGCTCCGACCTAGGTGTGGTGTCCAAAAGAATGCTGCATTATAACCACCAGGGAAATGATAAAAAGTTCATGTTCACGATCGCCCGGCCACATGACCGGCGCCGGCCAATCGCTGGATTCAACCACTCATAAACTTCTATCACAAAGTTGTAAATTTTCATAAAACAACAAGGAATTTATTGCATTTCTTCATGGCTGCTCCACCAGCAACCCTTTTCTCAGTCGCCATCTTCTTTTCTTCTCTTTCTCTCTTTTTGGGGAAACCCCAGTCTGAGAAGGGGTGAGATTTGGGGGGCAGGGAATCAGGGTGAAGAAGCCACACGGGTCCTGCTGGAAAGGGGATTCTTTTCTGAACCTCCCTGTTTTCCCCAGGAGCTCTGTCCCTTCTTTTTAGTAAAAATCCACCCCAAATCCTCCACATAGGGACTCTTCTGAGATAATTTGGGGGTGAGGTGGGCGCCACAGCTGGGCTCTAGACTTGCCATCTGCATCAGGGCAAAATGAAAGCCTCGGTGCTCCTTCTGCACCTCTGAACGGCCCCCGCATCCCTAGCCCTGTAGATGGCGGGACCCCCCACCTGTGAGGCTTGAGGCGTTGTGGGTGTGGGGGCCCTTAATTCCCTCGGGCTTCCTTTTTTTGTCCCAGGAGGAAAGGTGGCCTGGAAGGAGGCCAAAACAGTCTAACAACCGGATTCTCGCCTCCGCAACCCAGAAACGGGGAGGGTGAAGCCGACCCAGCCTCTCCCGCCCAAACACAGGCAAGTCCAGGGTTTCCAAGACAGCTCCGCACGCTCTCCGGGGGGCTGTGTGGTCATTAATGGGAGAAACTGTAGGTTTAGGAGCCTTTTATTTACAAATTTTAATTAAACAGATTCTCCTATAACAAACCCTCATTCCCCTTTCTATCCGACACCTGTTTTTTTTTTTTAACACTCAAACAATCCAAGGTTTGTAAATGAATAAATATTAAAAATAAGTTCTGCCGGTGTAGCCGCATAGACACCGTCCTCTGGGTTTTGGAGCAAAAATAAAATAAAATAAAACTCAGCCCTTATTTCCCAGGTCCGCTGAAATGTCCCCGTATTTTGAATTGAGCAACTGGCACCCAAATGCAGGAAACGAAATAACCTCCCAAAAATTGTTTTTCTTTCTTTCTCTCTTTCTGTGCTCCGGAGAAGGTTCCAGGTTGCCGGCAGCGCAGAGAGCGGGCACAAAGGCGCGGAGGAAAGGCCGGCGGGCGGCGCGGCTGGCTCCGAGGGCCAGGATGCGACCACACTAGCCCGGTAAACTCGCACCATTCAGGCCCTTGCTCCTGGACTCACCTTCCTCCCCCCTCCACTTTAAAGTTTTATTTGCGTCGCCTGTGTCCATTTAGAATGGGATAAATTAATACAAATGAAAGTAAAATAAATCGAAATAAAATACTGTAAAGGAATAGCTCTTGCCGAAAGTGTTTGCCGAGCTAGCTAGCGGGAAGCCTTGAAGCCTCGAGCGCCAGATTTTGGAGGCTCCCCCGGGGGCCAACCGTGAGGCCTGGACGCACCCGCCTGGCCTCCACTCAACAGTGTTCAAGAGGTTGGGTGGATTTGGGTGTTCACTTTTCCTATCCTTCTGAACTTCGTCCGTGTGGGTCCTGGCGTTTTGGATTTCAGCTCCATGTTTGCACCCGGGCGACAGTCCAGTTCCTGCAGTCTGGTTTCCAGGCCTGAATGAGGAAGAGGGTTTGTGCAACTGTGAGATTTTCCTTTTTTGTTCTGTCTGTTATGTTTTGTGAGCGGATGTGACTGAGTATGTGGGCTCACGGACGCGTGTAACTGGGAGCAAATGTGAATCTCTGTGTTTATAAGCCAATGTGTGAATGTGCATTGGCATATATCCATGTGTCTGTGAGTGAGTGTGAATGTGTTTGCTTGTGAGTGTGTGTGAATGTGGATGCATGTGCTCTGGGTGTGGAGCTGGGATTGTGTGAATGCCTGTCTATTTATTTGTGAGCATATGAATATGGTTGTTGCTTTGTGACAGTGTGTGACAGTGTGTATATTATGTGTGGTGCCAGCTTGTAAATTCGTGTGATCGCATGCATCATGTATGTCATTGCGCGTGAAAGTGTGTAAAGGGGATGCATGTGTGCAACGTTAAGTGCACGGATCAGCAGCGCCCCAGAGCAGGGGACAACAGGAAAAAGATCAAAAGAAATGGGCCCGTAGTGGAAGTCAGAGTGGAGAGGCTCTGGGATGTCCACCCATCCCTAACCCTGACTCCCTCCCAGACACAGAGAACAGGGCACCTGTTTATTTCTTCATTGCGTTTTATTTCTCTATCCTTCAGATATACATAGAATCTAAAGAGGAGCACGGAGGTAGGGGGCTCAGAGCAAGGAGCGGCGGGCAGGCGCTGGGGGGACACACTGGTCGGTGGGTCCTTGGGGCTCCTAAGGCCCCTGGGTGCCGCTACCGGGAAGGCGGAGGCTCAGGAGGGCGGGCAACCACAGGCGTCAGTCCAGACCCACAGTCCACAAAGACAGCATCAAAGGAGGCTTACAAAACAGCAAGATTTTACAAAGACCTTACAACAGCAACATAGTAAAGGGGAAGCAGGTTCCAGAAAGCTACAGAACAGGTAGATAATGTCCTTCCCATAGTGTACAAAAACAGACCCGACAGACTTTTCTATAGGTAGTATTGTTTTCAGGGTGGAGAAACCAAAATTTCACCTTTCTCTCGCCTTGAACATTTTGTTCCCACTGCTTTCATTTAAATAGTTTTTTAAAAATCTTCCCTATTTGATGTGTGTTTCCTAGTTCAGTTCCCAGAGCTGGGCTCCTCCCTCTCTCATCTCTCTCTTCCGCCGCCCTTCCTCCTTCTCTCACTCCTCCTCTTCCTCCTCTGCTTCAGGCTTGTCCCGGCCGGCGGCGGTCCCGGGGCCCGCGGTCTTGTTCTCCTTCTTCCACTTCATGCGCCGGTTCTGAAACCAGATTTTGATCTGTCTTTCGGTGAGGCAGAGCGCGTGCGCAATCTCGATCCGCCGCCGCCGCGTCAGGTAGCGGTTATAGTGGAATTCCTTCTCCAGCTCCAGGGTCTGGTAGCGGGTGTAGGTCTGGCGGCCTCGCTTGCGGTCGGTTCCTGCGAACAGTATTTCGAGTTAAACCCGTGAGTGCAGAAAACGCGGAGACTGCCCACCTCTCTCTCAGACCCTCGACGTGGTCTGAAGTCGGTGGGGGTGGGGGAGGGGGAAGAACCCCATTTTCCCACTAAACCAAATTCTCTTTCCATATCCCAGGCCAGACGTATTCCATGCTGCCCCTTCCCCTCAATGTGCAGAACTTTCTACAGGCCTCCTAAGGAAAACATTCCCATTTTCCATCCAAAAAGTCTTTTTTAAAGCCTGGAGCTTCTGAACCTAGGAAGATCTCACCTGCTGGTTGTTAAAAGCTCTGCTCCTGAAGGGTGTTCTTGGGAGGAGGGGAGCTTAATCCTCCTTTCACTCTCTGGGATCAGGGACTCTAAACCTTCCCTTTTGGATGCTGACTCTGCAGATCTTTAGGGTAGAGGGCAATGGAAACCACGCAAGCGACTCTGGAGTGGGGCCCCAAGCCCGGGCCTGAGATGTTCCCCCAGAAGAAAAGGAGACAAAGACCTTACTGGTCCAGCACCTCCCCCCCTCCCCGCCCCCAGCCTGTTAAGGAGTTGAGGAGGTAAGAATTTGCAGATTTCCTGGAAGCATGGAGTAGACCCCAGAGCAGTGGCCCTCTGATGATGCTTTTCCAGTGAGTGGCTGAGGTTCAGCCAGGGTCAGCCTGTCCTGTCTGCCTGTTTGCCCAGACAATCCGGTTCTCTGAAGCAATCTTTGGGCCTCCGGGAAGGCACATGGGGAGAGAAGAGACAGCAGCCTGGGATCCAGCGGATCATGGAGTATCTGGTTGGCAGGGGCTGAAGGACAGAGGGGAACTTCCCAGGTTAGGCCCAGAACCCTGGGGAGACTTGGAAGAGGTGCTGATGTCAGCCTTCCTATGAAGGAGATGGGGGAGGCGGGGTTAGGGACCCTAGTTTCCAGTCAGATAAAAGCCAAGCTCAAATGTCTATGAGCAGAAAAAATGGGTCTTTGATAAATCAACTGGAAAGGCAGTTGAATTATAGAGCAGGTAATGGGGACTGTGACCACCAATACTGATGGTGTGAGAGCTGGGGTCCTCCTGGGCTCCAACCCTGGGTGGGTTGGGTGCCTCTGACCACAAGTCTTAGTTCTTCTGGATCTTGGTGCTGACCCTCAAGTTCATCTGCCTTGGAATGGGGTAAAAAAGGGACTCTGAGCCAGGCTTGACGGGAGACCCCAGGGGACCCCTGGTCTCTTGGGGTTTCTGCAGCAGCCAGCTGGGTGGCCTGCACTCAAAGCTTTGATTTGGCTCCATGGAGTCCTAGCCCCTCACCCAAGAGGAGACACCTCCGAACTTGGTGGCCAGCTCTCCAGGGGTGCTAGGAGCCCTGGGAAGGGCACCTGAGGAAGCCAGCTGCACTTCCGTGAGGCCTCTGCCCCTTTCTCTAGTTCTCCCGCTAGCCTCCCCCCAAGTTCACTGGGGGGTCAGGAGCCTCATCTCTCTTGGCCTCAGCCCCCTCCCTCCACCTGCCTCTCTGACTCCATGTCCCTGGCTGGGTCCTCTTCTCCTCCCACCAGGCCTCCAGAGCCCACCTCTAATTGTCCTGATGGGAATAACGGGGGAGCAGGGTTGGCTGGGAAGGAAGGGGGAGGGGAGAGTCGCTTAGCGCTACGGCCCCCTCCCCCATACCTTATCCGAGCTGGGGCTGGGGGACACACCCAGAGCCGAGATCCCTGGCTGGGAAGGGGGGAGAGGGGGGAGACCCTAATGGCTATTCTCTGCAAACCCCAGCCTTTCTCCGCAAGACAAACGGCCTCGTCTCCAGCCCGTGCCGGCGCTGCTGATAAATATTTAAAGCTAAAAGGCCGGAGGAAGGG